TGCTGCAAGTTGAATTAAAATCCAAAGACCCCTCATAAGCATAAAACTGAACACTCAGTTTCCTACTATCTGAAGTACAAACATGATTTATGACCAAACACATCTGAGAAATGACACCGCCAAGATCTGTCATTCCGAGGAACGGTCTGTAGGGATGTGTGCTTTTAACATAACGCCTCACAATGAAAGGAATGCTTTCATCTAATGCAGAACATCCCTGTTAAGCTAATTTCTATTCCTTACACTCATGTCTAAATGCTTTTTGATAACCTCTCCAAAAGCTGGCATTGCCCAAACAAATTCCATCTACCTTAGCAAGCTGTTTGTTATTCCCTCCCAAAGCCGAGATGAGTTTGGTACCATAAGGCTTCTTTCAGGTGGACCAACAATACTGATGAGATGCTTAAAGAAAAGAAAACCCAACTAACATATCGTGCTCTGATGATGACCAAGAGGGGCTGCAGCAACATTAATTAATTAATACTGACAATTTCAGAATCGGTGCTAACAGCCAGATGTGGGTCCAAGTTAAAACCAGTGCTAACCACAGCTTGAGGTGGTCACAGCCTAGGTGTGAAAACTCAAGTCCTATTTCTGTGTGTCCCACCAGCAATCAGGAAGGAGAATTCGCAAAATTTCCCAAACGAAAGATCTCTGGGCAGAGAACTGGCATAGGATAAGGTCTGGTTGATGGGAAGGATCTTTAAGAAGAGTCAGAGCACAAAATGGTGGTAAAAATGGCACAGAGAGAAAGGAGGATTTATCCATGACAGCAACACTTGCCAACTGCTGAAACATGAAACTTTAAGCTCTCCCATTTCCACTGTTTAAAAAGTTCTTCCTGAGTCCCTGTCCCCATTCTGCACTCTGGTGAGTACCAGAGCCAGCCACACCACCTGGCTGCATCCATTCCCAAGCATGCCAAACTTTTTGCTAAAATTAGGACTGTTGTGTTTCCCGTGGCTCCACTATGATTAGTCAGCACTCCTAACAGAGCCTCCCAACTTCCTCAGATCTCCAGTTCTGAGGATTCAGCTGCACACAGATCTCAAGCAGCAGACATGCACAGCACGCTGAAGTTACTCAAGCTTTCAATTACATCCACTGTCAAAACTCTGTCTTAACCATGTCTAGCTACTGCTGCCAAACACGAGCTCTTGTACTTTCTACCATTAGATTAAAGAGCTATTATTATCACAGATCTCTTCTTCAAGTAATCTTTTATTCTTCCTTTCAAACAAGATAAAGAGATTAAGAGTCTAAGTCTCTCTTCAGATGGCATGATTTTCAAATCTTTCTTGTAAACCTTTTCCAAATCCTTTCCACTTTGCCAACATCCTTTTTGAAGTTCACGTATCAAAATTGGACACGCATTTCTAATAGTTAAATAAGAGCACTCTGAAGCTAATTAGAGCAGTTCTATTTAGCAGTTTTCCATTTTACAGCTATGCTTTCACCACTCATTGCCTTTGGGCTGCACACGCTCCGTTTGTCTACGCTTCATTTGAATTGGGCTTTCTTCAGTGGGAAAAAAATGTAAATGCTTGCTTTCAAGCACAGTTTAATTTGTGTTTGTAGTAGTTCCTACGCAGGTCCATTACTTCTGCTTCCAAAATGAGGTGTATTTAAAATTAAAACAACGAAATAATCTCCTAACATGAGGAAAAAAAAAAAAAGAGTGCCATGTGGCCCATTGTAACACAGACCACCCATTTTGCAATTGGCCAAAAAGTCCAAAAAGTAATCCATGCTCACAGACAATGCTGCATATGCAGAAGAAGAATCTTGGCTTTGATGACTTGAATACATCAGGCTACAAAATGGAAAATCCCTTCCCAACCAGCAGCACCATTCCAGTTTGCCATTACGTTGCACAACTTCCAGGCGTTACTGGAAACTTTTGTAGGCAGCCATACAGCTACAAAACATGTGCCCATATTTCACAGGCTGATCACACACCTCCTTGTGGTTGGCCCACAGCTCTCTCTGTGAGCAGCACTGCTTACCAACAAATTCCTCTCAGCCTCCTGAGCCCCCATGATACTGTCCCGAATCAGAAATGCCACAGAGATCAAATCACGAGAGGCATTTGTGCCACAAATCACATCTTTCAAGCTCAAAGTCAAAGCTGCCGATGCGTGAATCGCACCATCCATATTTTTGCTTCCCACAAACACATTGGCTGGGTGTCTTTCAAGATAATGCCTGTGCACCATCGCAATGTGACTAACCACAACACAGGCCAGTCTTAGCAGCCATATCTTCCTGAGATTTAACTGCATGGAATACTTAACTCCACTCACTGTGATGCTAAAAAGGCTACCAATAATGTTAAGCTTACAAAAGGGGAAAAAAAGCACAAGAGGAGGTTAAAACAAAGCCATAACTCTAAAGGGATGCAGCAAACAGTGTCAGCAGGAGATTCCAGGTACGCTGTCAAGCATTAAAATCTCCATTCTCTCCTGGTTCTGAGAGTCATTTCCATATTCACCCACTGAAGACAGTAAAAAAGCATTAAAAGAAGGAAAAAAAAATCAACAACCTTTCTACATTTACATGAGTGCAACAGTGAAAAACAACGAAAGCAGTTTGGCATTTTTATAAGACAGTTCAAATAAAAATTAATGGCACATGTAATAATAATTCCAAGAGTATTTTGCTTCCATTTATATCCAACTAAGAGACAATTTTTGGTGCGTTTGGTTTTATAGCTCTGCATATAGGCAGCAAAGTAAAAATTCTGCACATGGGAAAATAAATAAGTGGCTATATGACTGGTTGACAGTAAGATTTGTAGAGCTAATTAGTTCAATGAATAGGAAAGGCACTCAAAACTAACAGCTCATCAAATAGTTCTTCATACGAGAGATATCTGTCACCCTGCCTACACTGAATAAATATTTTCTCTGTCTTCCAGAGATCAATGCCAACAGAAGAAAATAAAAACAGAACTACCCAAAAACCTGCGCTGTGGGCCAGGCTGACCCCACTGACTTCAGCTCTGTGGGTGGAAAGGTGACTGGACAGGCCAAGCCAAAAAGTACCTTCTGCCCCAGCCAGAAGCAGCTTTCTGAGATCCAGCATCTTTCAAGCTCCAAGTCAAAGCTACTGATGCACCTTAAATTCTGCCATAAAAACAGTGCTTCCAGTTCTAGCCCAAGGCCAACGATGCAGCCCGAGGAGCCTAAGGGCTTTTGATGAGTCTTCCAGGCACCCATGTGCATGACCTGTGTAATACTTGGAGCCATGAAACATTTTCCAGGGTTATTCTTACTTAGAGAGGTGAAGAGAGCTGGTTCTTTAAAAGGCTTAGAAATAGTTCTTCCCTTCATTTAAATTAAAAGTCTGCAATTGGAGAAGCCACCAGCAGAACAGAACTGCAGACATAACGCAGAAAGATCTGAAACTGGTTCAGGATTCAACTGAGCCCAAGAGCCATAGTGCTCCTATAATGCTCCAACCCTAAGGGGCTTTGCAGCCTGGGGTTTGCTCTCAGTACACGATCCCAATTTTGATCTCCACACTCATTTCCTGTATGCAAAGCCAGGCCCAGCTCACAAACCTCAGATCTATTTCAGATTCCATTGGAGGATGCAAAGACAATATTTATCTATTTGCAAATTATCTCAAGCAACATGTAAATCTACCCCAGCACTCCATGGCTAATAACAAGCCAGCACGCTATAGCTCAAGCCACCACAAGCCAGCTGCCAGGCAGCCTTGGAATTACAAGTTTTCAGATATCCATAAAACATGTCCTGTCACGCAGTGCAAGAACTGCAAGTCCTGCTGTTCTGCATTAAGTCTTTTCTTGCATGGAAAGAACACACTCCCAAGGCACATTCATGTCCTGGAAGATACAGCCACTCCTCATGCAGCGATTCTGAGGGCAACTGATTTCCATCACAGCTACAGCAGTGTTGCTTCATCAAACAGAAAAGAGCTTGAGCAATTGTTTTCCTTTTTGGGAACCCAATGGGAAAGGCACTGCAGATTAAGGAAGGAATCATGTTTCAAACTCAGAACAGACTGAATGATAAAAATCAACGCTGTTCAAAGAAGAGTAGTGATAACACACAATTCCACCTGGGTTTTTAAAGGCCACATACATCGCCTCATTCAATCCCCTTCTCTTTAAAATCTAGATTCTCCAGGATAATGTTATTTCCTCTGGAGGAATACTGTATGAAGTATATGAGATAGGGAGGAAGAAGAGGAGGAAAGTTGGCAGTGGCTGGTAGGAGGGAATTGCTAGCATAGGCACCAAGAGAGAAAGCAGTGCCCCTGGAGGACCCTGACAGCTACTTTACATCTGGTCATAATTGAGCCTGCCCTGTCTCTAGCAGCTCCTGCCAACTGATATCAGCAGAACTGTCCCTGTAACAGAGAAATGCAATAATGCTAAATAGTCTAAAGTAATTCATGGCTTATACAGTTTTATTATTGATATTAAAGTAAACCATCTCTTCTTCTGGCGAGGAGTGTCTCTAATTGATTTGAAATTGTGATAAACCTATTATTCAATCAACTCAGTTTTGCAAGCTAAATTGATATCTGAAACCATTCCAAGAGATATAATGAGAATGCAGTAGCTACATATTTTAAAAAGCAGGAAAAGTAAACCATCTGTTTGCTTTTGTATAGTAATGTAAAACATATCCCTGCCATCTCTTTTGATTTTACCAGTGTGTTCCTTTGAAAAACAACACAGAAGAAAAATGCTTAGGCTATTGCAGGCTTTCATCATACTCCCCAAATCTTAGTGCTCTTTTAAAGCAAATCATTACAATTCTATTCATCTTTTATGCCTGTAATTCAGAGTTTCAAGCACAGTCTTGGATAGAAGGGCCATTTGGGACATAGATAAATTGATGAAACATTGGCTTTGTCTGCTAAGCATTTGAAAACGATGACATGCATTTTGCTATTCAAACAGTTCTAAAACCGAGGAGCAGTAGTGAACGAAAGCAGAACTGAGTAAACACACATCTGAACAGTCATTTCTGATATAATTTTTTAATAATGCATCATCAAAACTCCCCAGGTTTGCTATTAAAGCATCACAGCAGACAGCTTCCACCTGATGTTGAACTGAGTCTTGAAAACGTGGCACAAAGAAAAGGTTAATAGCTTCTGCATTACTCTCCTGGTGCTAACACTGCTCCACTGAGCCTGGTGAGCAGAATGGAGAAAACCCACATTCACAGCTAACACCATTCCTGACCAGTGGTTTATACCACACTCACCCCCTCACGCTGAACTCCTGTGTGTGAAGAGCTACGCCATGGTCAGTGCTGCAGCTGTAATTAAGGTTCATAGAGTTTCTGTTTCCATTATGAAGCCCAGCTTCTGAGGTTTAATAAGTCAGCAGTTCCAATTGCATGAGCCTGAGATTTGACAACCAAGTTATCAGCAGAAATGCACAGTTTGTGCTTATCTGTTTATCAGCAGCACTGTTCAAATCCACTCAGGCGGTGCTGGTTTGGAGATCTAAAATCATGGTCTTTTTTCGTGTGTCAGAGGGCTTCTGAACACCAAATCTTCCTCTGGGGAAAGCAACAACAGGTGTGTTTCAGCAGAAGTATTACTAATGCTGCCAGCCCCACAAGCTTTGGGCTTATTCCCACTGCTCCCTATTTATTCAAACAGTCTCCAGTGAACTGAGTTATTAGTTTAGATGCACGTGCACCAAGAGCAACAGTCTAGCAATTCAGAATGTACAAACTTCAGGACCTGACTGTATCAAGAACCTAAAACAGACAAGGCTCATAAGAGACCCAGTACAACTTCCTTGGGAATTCAAGGAGTGAAGTGTTTCTGTGCATCTTACCAGCGCAGGACTGGGCATCAAAGCCAGGACCAGAGCAAGAGGCAGTGCCTGTGCCAGCAGCTGTTTGTGCAAAACCAGAAAATACACCTGCAAAAACAGCAGTGGATCCTTGATATCCCCAACACCAATCTCCTCTTTTGGATACAAAACAGGCCACTATCCCACTGTGTTTCTACTGATTACCATGCTACCCAGGTCCAGCCTCACAGGACAGCCTCTGTCCTCAGTATTAAAAAAAAAAAAACCAACAATTAATTTCATTCTGCCAAAGAAATATTTCAAGTAACTGAAATTAAACACAAGTAGAAATATTTCCTCTGTTTTTTCCCCCTGCCAAAGCATTTTCATGTAAAATACTGAGAAAAAGGGAAACATAGTGGGCTTTTCTGCAACACAGAGCAACGCTGAGTTTCATCGTAGTTCCTAAGGACTGGAATTTTTAAAGCTGTGTATGTAGGTCAGGTACACAGGCCTTGCAGAAATGCAACTTCCCTGGGTTATTTCTGAAATGCCTGCTCTGAAAGAAGGCAGATATGGACATATTCTTAGATGGTTCAAATCAACACAGGCCTTTCCCCTTGGATGAAACACCAGCTGAGAGTTGACAACTTTCATCTTTTCAAGTGTCAGAGTTTTGGCTTCTGCACAATGATAAAGTGCTGAACCCACCTGTGGAACAGAGAAAATGAATTCATTTGTCACAATAATGAAATCTCCAGCTCCAGAAATGCTTCTTTCTCTTCTACTCAAAACATTCCGTGACCCCAAGTTGTCTCAATGGGTCTGGCAGAAAAAGTTGGCATTCACAGCAAGGTCTGTGTCTGACCCAGATGGGAGAAGGCTTGGGATATGGAGGTCAGACATCTCAGGGAGCTTTATGCAGTTTTGTGTACGTTGTTTTATAGACAAAAGGCAGCACAAAAGCCTAACACTGTAGGTATAATGAACCTTTCCACACTGGAGCACCTGGATATAATCAGGAATAAAGCTGTTTATGCAAGTCAAGTTTTCAATCTTCAGTTTTTCTTGTGAGAATTCAGAACGCATTCTCTCAAGACAATCTAATTATACCAATAAAGAGAGAACAAAAGACTTCAATTTGGGGATTCATTTCTCCTTCTTCCATAATCACACCTTCTTTTGTTTTAGTCATGATTGTGAAAGCTAACAATGATGAAGCACCTCCAAATTGAGAAGATGAGCACGTATAACTTGCTAGACTATCTTCAGCATGTTATGTAGTGTTCAATATTGATTTTGATTCAACTAGACTTCTATTAGAGTTATCTGTTCTAGCCAGCTGCCAAATATACCTGCTCAGTAATGTGTCCAAATTCATTAACAGTTTTGTTTTAATAATATTTCATTTTAAAGTTTAATTTTATCCACACATTAGCTTCCTATTACTTATGCAAATAAAAGCTTTATGGCTATATTAGCAATAATTCATTATCATTCCCTACTGGCTTAGTGAAGGAATTTGCAACTTTGGAGTATATCCAGAGCTTTTAATTGAAGATACTAAGGGAAGCCTACATTTAGTTAAAATCATTTGCACATAGAAATTAAATATGATTAGCATAAGTCTCTAAAACTCTTTCCAGACTCAAAGATAGATCGTGATTTTCCTCGAGCCCTGTCTGGAGGGTGGTGTATTAACACAGAATCCAATGAGCATCTTAGGGGAAGGAGGCTGTGGCTCTCACACTTGGCATCTGAGGTAGGAGAGCAATCTGCTTATTGGAAGTTACTTCCCACTGTCCTCCATCTTCACTGTTTTGGCAGAGGTAACATTTGTCCCTTCCTCACATGTTTAGCTCACATTACCTCTAAGCAGACGGTGAAAGAAAGGCAGTAGCTCTTCCCATAGCAATTTCCCTTTTGGGTACTCAGAGTGCTAAGTGCTAACATGAAGGCAACGAATAGTTAGGGTTATATGTCACCACATGAAACCAGCTGTGCTTTCCTCTCTGGGAGAAGGAGCGTGTCTTGGTGCAACTTGATTCATTTGTGTTGCTTTACATGTCAAAACCAGCCCCACACAGGGAACTTACAATAACTATACACATATAGAGTACTAGAAACACATAGAATTGATAGCACTTAACTGCAGTGTCTCTCTTTAGAGGGGAGAGAGCTCTACAGCTGCCTAAAAAGAGTTCGAGGTGAGGTGGCAGTCAGCCTATGCACCCAGGTAGCAGCAATAGGATGAGAGGTGATGGGCCTTAAGTTGCTCCAGGAGAGGTTCACATTGGATGTTAGGAAACATTTCTTCTCCAGAAGAGCATTGCTGCAGTGGCACAGCACAGTGGCCCAGGAAGGTGGTAGGGTCACCATTCCTGGAGGTGTTAAAGGAAAGGGGAGATGTTGTGCTGAGGGATATGGGTTAGTGAGCAATATTGGTGGTAGGTGGGCAATTGGACTAGAAGATCTTAGCTGTTTTTTCTCACCTTAATGATCCTACGATCTGTCAGGCATCACCAAGGCAGTCTCACAGGGTCAATCTTCTGTTCCAAGTATTTGCATCTCCATTTCAGTGCTGGAGGACTGGACCTTCCCACTTCGGTTCCAGTGGTGTTTTTTATCTCAGAAACTTACAAAGGAAATTGCATTCAGCACACTCCTGTCTTTGTGCTCCAAATGAGCTCTTGCACAACAAACTGACTCATGTTTACTTTATTATGTCCCAAGTCACAGAAGGACTGTAGGTATCTTTCCCATCTCCTACAGAAGAAGATGTTTTAATTAGCCAATTATATTAGTAAAAAGCAATCTAATTTCTAGGCCAAACAATAGCGTGGCACAGATATTAAAATCAAATTAGCAAGGCATACCAGTGTTTTCCTCCAGCATGCAAAGGCGACCTCCTGCACAGATAATGAGCATTATGTCTGCATGGCGATCTGTGGCAGTGAAACACAGAAGCAGTGGTGAGTAATGAACACGGTAACAGGTTTAGGAGTTTCTCTCCACTGTCTCTCTCCAACTTTTAATCTAGCTTAGCAGTAATCGTGGTGTGTCCTTTGCAAAATATGCACTGTGCCAGCTTGTTCCTTACCCGCAGCAGCAAGTATTTGCTCAAAGCAGAGACTTCACGTGGATCCAGGATGATGGGTACTTTTGATTGCCAACTAGTGAAAGCTGAAAAGAATCTTTCAAATTGTGCTCAGAATTCACCTTTGGTGATAGGAACAGAATGAAAATGACTTTGTTTGGGGAGTAAAAGCAGACATTTACTAAACAACAAGCTGCTTTGGAAACGCATGTTTCCACCTTCCCCAAAGAAAGCAAAGAGAAGCCCACTGCTGGCTGCCTCATGCCAGCAATCCACGCATCAGCTGTGCTCCCTGACAACAGCAAAGTGATTCTCTCTGAAAAGCATCGTGGATTTGTCTGAATAAGACATTTATCCCTCAAAGGCCAGTGTGGTAGAGCCCTCGTTTTGGAAAAGCTAACAGATCGATCCTGCTTAACCCCTACACTCGGAATCTTTATTACAACCCTTCACAGATTCTGAGGTGTAAAACCACCTCTAAGCAAAACAATAACAAAGTCTGCCAGGCAGGGAAACGGATGGAGTGGAAGAAATGCATTAGCACAACAGCTGCAGCAGGGATTGCCTGAGCTGAGCTCCTGAGCCCATTTCTGCAGCACACCACATGTCTCATTAGCTCCAGCCCTAAAGTAGGGTTGGGCTCAGAGCTGGAGTAATTGTTCCCCTAACAGCATGTGGCAGCCCAGCAACACCCAGCATCAGTGCTGACACTGTTCTAACCTGCTGTCATGTATAAAGTGAACAATTCCCCTACATCAAATGGTAGCTTTTATGGGTGTAGCATCTCCACGTTTCTGAAACCAAACGTAATCTCTGCTGTAAATTGATGTAAGAGGAGTAGGGGGCTGCTATGCTTCTCTGGATGTTCAGTATTGGTGCTTCAGGCTGGATTTGTTGCTAAACTGAGAGTGTTTACAGTCAAAAAGAAAGGCAAAGGAAACACAAAGGATTTCACTGCTGTTCTAATGCATCTGGTTATCTTCTGAAGTTAATGGATCTCTGCTTTGCCTAAAAGAGCATAAGGTCCTTCCATAATTTTTCAATCCAGAATTCCTCCCCTTCACATGGAAGAACTACCTGCTACCCCGTAACAAACAGAAGCACTACCACACCTGTCATGAGTTGAACAAAGATCAGCTAAAAACTCAATTCTCTATATGCTTCTTGTAAAAAATGCATAGAGAAGTACCTGACTTTTGAAACTGCTGAAATTCAAACCTTGGTCCCTTCCAGTCTGAGCCATTCTGTGTTTCTATGGCCCCAGGACTTGCTACAGTTGCTACTGCTAAACATTTTCTTAATTGGCCATGACCAACCAGGGATTAACACTAATTTCTTACCTCTTATGAAGACCACAATGTTTCTTCTGTCTGTTGAAGACCACCTCAGTACATCATTTCTTTCACTATTTGCTCATTACAGTAAATAAGGTATTCTGAAATCCCAGCTTAATCATTCTGCAGAACTTCTGGTGCAGGGGATGTGCCTGTCACCTCTCTTTCAGCCACGTGGAGTTATTTGTGCACTCAGAATCCTTTGTTCCACTTTGTTCCAATCCATAACCCACTGTTATGCCGCATTTTCTTCCTTGTCATCTTTGCTCCTCCTTCAAGTCAAAACGGAATAGAACAGATATGTCAGGCCTGGACTCTGCAATTATTTAAACTAATGCTTGCACATGGGAAAGGCTGCCATGGGAAGTGACAATTCCTGACTGCATAAACACAGTTTCTGATGCAACAAAATAGCATTTGGAAGCATTATGGTGGATGTTTCCAACATTTCCATACCCACAGATCCCCCAGCCCACCAGCTGGAATGGATTTGCTCACCAATCCTCACAAACCCCCAGTTAATTTGACCACCAGGGCAACTTTGCTACAAACACCTGCAGCACCTCTGTCACTTCCTCAGGATGCCTTGCTCCTGAGCTTAGAGAAAGTGATCCTTGGACAATAACCAGCTTTCTTGGGCCCCTGCTTCTCTTCAGATCCCTTTCATAAGGGATTCTACCGCACAGATCCTTGATAATGCCAACATCTGTTCTGAAATGCAGGAGAGGAGACTTCAGACAAGACTAGAACAAGACTGGATGACTACCACAGTGAGCAGTCAGCAAAATCACACCCATGGCACTTGGCAGCTACCCAAGTACTCACAGCTAAAGTTTATCTTCCATAATAGCACTTTTTCTTGCAATGTGACCAAGCCTTCAAACTGATGGCAAAGCAAGGAATTGTACAATTGTACAACAGCAAGCACACACTGCTGCTCACGTCAGCTTTTCCTCCATCAGAACTCCACGTCCTTCACCACAGGGCTGCTTCAGGAAGTTCTTCTGCCAGTCTGTGTTCTTACCTGGGATTCCCCCAAAGAAAAGAATCAGTTTGACACTCTCAGGCTTCTGCAGCACAGCCAGCAGCTTGGATGGTAATACAGAGGCAAAGGATAAGCTGAGAGCTCAACATCCAGGATCCAGTTTGTGAAAGCTCCAACCATTTGTGAATTCTCCATAATCTAAGATCTAGCACCATGATTTTGAAATGAACTTCCCTCCCCCAGTGTTTAGCTACAAAGGGTTTGAGTAAAGAATGCTAAATTACATGCAAGTCACATTAAGAACAATCAGACTCATGTAATAGGGAATCTAATAGTTCATAAATGAGATGCAAATTCATTTTTATGGGTGCACTATAATAAGCCAATTATTTCAGAGCTCTTCAATTATGCGTTTTCAAAAAGCTGAATTGCTTTATATTTTTTTTATTATTATTATTTTTTAAGAAGCTTTAGGTTTTTCCATAGCTTACAAGGGAAAGAAAATGTATCTGCCTTGCAAGCAACACCAATAAAATACCAAAACATCTCCAAAACCATGCCAAGCTTCATGCAAGGAGCAACACAAACAGAAAATAAGCCAGCTGGAAAACTGCACTCATAGCAAACATTCGGACAGTGGACCTCTCTGTTCCCATCAATTAAAGACATTGAGGAACCCATCCTATAGCAGGCTGGTGCAGGTGTCACCATGTGTGAGATTAGATTAGGGAATCTCCATATCAGCAATAACACAGCATGTCTGTGCACAGAATTGGCATTGCAGCTCATCGGCAATAACTTGCTGCCCTCAAAGTAGCCCTTGGGTCTTCTGGAACTCACATCCTGTAATGAGATTTTCCTTTAGAAAAGAAACCAACAACTGGATAGTCTTCCCAAAACCTCTGCAGTGTTTGTTTTTTTTTCTTGGAAATTGGGCACAGAAGAATGGAGGTGCTGGTTTGGTCAAGAAAAAACTAACCTGAATGATTGTGCAAAAGCAGAGCATTCTCACTCGTACACGACTTGCAAAAGAAGTAAAATTGCACAAGAACCCAGCCTGATTCTTTGCAGCCTGTATGGTAACATCTTTTGATGCTGATATTATCCATGGCCCCAAGAACAAGGAACTCTGCTAACACAGATATCCTACCTGAAACAAAGCAGCGCAGCTGGAAAACTTAGACAAGCTTTTAGGTATATCAGCTCTTCTCACGACTGGAAGTAGACCTGAAATTTGCACTGCATTGTTCTTCAGTTGCATTTAGTTTTGATGCTGTTTTTATTTCAGAATTTAAGTAGGTTTACACTCCTAGAGCATACCAGTCACTTTAAGTCTCTACTTAGGAGCCTTCTCTTAGTCCATATTTACCATCCAAGAGATTTAGGCATGGGCTTTCCTACCAGCACAGATTTTGCTGTTTAAAGCATGACAATGATAAAAGCAGAACGTCTGGTTTTCCTCCTCCCTTTCACCCTCATTGTGAGCCTCTCCCAGTTTTGCTGCCAGGCCCAGCTGAGCACAGCTCACTCCAACACCTCTGACCAACCTCCTTGGACAGAACATCCCAGCAGACCCTGTTTCAGAGCAGAAGCAGAAGAAGCAATAAAGATAAATTACAGCACGGCATTTTAGATTTTCTAGAGGCAATACAAAATTGACGTTCAGATTTAGAACTAATTGTTTAGCTTGGAAAACAATTTTTGACCAACGCTCAGAACAAAGCACATCAGAGCTTGAACACATTGCCATGTAAATCTGCCTGAATTCTCATTTTAACAAAAAAAAAGAAACAACAAACTTATTCAAGCAAGGAAATATATATAAAAAAATACTGTGAAGTGTCTAACATGTGGCTGCTCCAGGCATGCAGACACCCAAGGTCAGGATGGAGGGGCTCTAGCACATGATGGAGCTGTGGGTGCCCCTGTGCAGTGCAAAGAATGGGACCAGATGGCTTCATGGGTCTCTTCCAACTCAAACAAGTCTACGATTCTATAATCTGGATCAGAACTTCTGTGATTACAGGCTGTGAGGTCAGAGGTTGCTTTTATGAAGAATGTTCCTTTTAGCAGAGCTATCTACAAACACAGCCTCCAAATCAGCAGCCAGTTGACCTTCTGGACAGAATAATTTCAATGGTATTCTGGGCTTATAATGCTGTAAACCATACTGTGAATACATGCATCAGTCTTAGGTAAGAAGCTTAATAATAAATTAGCTTTTTTTTTTTTTTTTCATTGAGCTGAAAGGCAATGCAAGCCATAGCTTTATTTACAAAAGGTTAAACATTTCTTTAATTGGATTGCTGGCATTTAAGTGTGCAGCAGAATATTCTTCAGCAGTGTCCCTTTTATTTGTGACTGGAGAAGTGCCTAGAGAAATGCCAAGGGAAGATTTCATTTTAATAAAAAAGAGAAGCTTAAGATCCCTTTGGAGGCTTATGTTACATCTCAAAACTACCATGAACTAATGAATTTAATCTAAAAGGTCCCCAACCACAGGGCCGAAGAGAAATTACAAGACTGGCTTAGCTTGACCAAGCTGTGCATGTTAGCAGTTGTATCTTAGTGCTTGCATCCTGCAAAGAATGCCAACATAGTCATTTGAAATACATTTTAAAATGAGAAATATGGTTGAGCTACAGCATTCTCATAACACTTCTAAGAACCACTCACGTCAGAGGCTTGCAAGCTGAGTAAAAGGAAAAGCTGCTCCTTCCTCCTCCCATGAGTCAATGCTTTGGAAGAGATTGCATGCCAAAAAATTCTGCTGCCTGGAAGAAAAACAGCCCCTTGCTGGCTCATATTGGGGTCAAGCTGAGGACCCAATTCTGCATGGTGCTGGAATCTGAGCACACTCAGCCCTCCTTGGCTGAGTTATTATCTCACAGTTGTTATACGCACAGTATGGAAGTCTCCTGGGAGAGTTGCTAATGTACACTTTGCCTCCCTAGAAAGCAGGGTGGGAATTTATGAGGAAAGAAAATCAGGCTTATAAATTACACAGAGGACCTTTAAATGGAGGTATAAGTTTCATTACTGGAGCATGTTACTGGATGGTCAAAATTAAAAACAGCTTCTAGAAAGCGGATTGCATTTAACTTTCCATTTGGGGGAAAAGAAGAAGAGAAACAATTTCAAACACAACCTTGATTAACTGGACAAATTACAAACGATGACACAGTGAGCGTGCAAGTTATCCACTGTCAGGCACTTCTACTTTAACATCTCATTTTGCTCTCTGAAATGTGGTAATTAGAACATTACCTTAATAACACTGATGCATTTAAGAGACAGAATCCACCTGGAATATATTTTTACTAATGCCTTACAACGTATGAGCCTCTAATCCTTGTGCAGTGGTTGAGTTCCAACGTGCTCCAGCTGCAGAGGCCAAAGAGAGGTGATTAGAACATGAACAAGGAAACTCCTACATCAAGGTAGGATTGCCTAACTCTTCTAGCAAAGAGCAGAGCAGCAGCCTTCCCCAGCTACAGACCATCCTGAAGTCTTGCACTCAAACCTCTAAACCTGTAACAGCCCCTATGTGGGAAGGACCCTCCACAGATGAAGTTCTGCCCCTCATTTCACCAACTGCCTGAAGTATTTAAAGGAAGATGAGACACAGATCAGAACACGCCATCTCTTTTCTCACCAGATACCCATCCTCCCATAAACACAAAACAAGCCAAGGAAAATTTTCCTGTCTCCCAGATCTCCAGTGTGGCTCTACTGTTTCAAGTAGCAGCTCCCAGTGCTGAGATATGACAGGCCCATTGTATGAAAAAGTGAGTAGCACATCTTTGTGGTGCTACAAAAAGATGGAGAAAGGGCTACAAATACTCTTAACAACTTAGAAAACAGCAGGCAAATCAAAACAGTCCATGAATGCATTAAATCAATACTCCACAATGTTTAAGTCACTAATGCAAGTTTTAAGAATTTCCTGTTGCAGCCATCAGCTTTCCAGTTCTATTCTCATCCTCAAAGAGTGGAAGTCTCACCAGCCCCAAAATAAAGACATAAGTTTATTTCCACACAGACCTTCAAACAGAACTGCTGACAGCCAGCTCTCATTGGAATGGAAGAATCCATATTCATACAAAACACTTCACATTCTTGTTTGCATTCCAGCACGCCGCCCCTTGAGAAACATTGAGAGAAAGGGAAAAAAAATAATTCTTAAAAATTTGGAATGATGACATCTCACTCCAAAACATCAACTGCTCTAAATCACAGCTACAATGTTTAGAAGAGCTTAAGACAAAAGTAAAATGCCTCACTGAATGTTAGCCAAGCATTCTTTAAGCCTCCAAAAATGTATCTTTTTCCTTAATTGTTTTTTCTCGGTCATTCTAAAGCAACCTTTCTGGTTTCATCTAAAACAAGAGCAAATCTTTAACAAGATGTTTATTCACATAGGATTTCTTCTCCTGTCCAGCTGTAAATCTACATCCAACGATGGCAGTGGTAGCTTCCCTCTCGTCATGAGAAAACGTCCTGGCAATATCAATTTGAGTTTCTTCTGATCTCAAGCCACACATTTATTCTTTGAGTCGTGATTCTTTGACTCTACTCACCACACTCTGCACTGGATTTTTACATTTAATGAGGTTGCAGGCTGCCGTTTTTTCACTATTATCCTTAATCAAGTTTTATTGATTACCGGGACACAGCATCAATGGAAAGAACATTACAAACAAATGGAAAAGCTGCCCATAAGCGACTGGTATGTGTTCTAGCAGAAAACAGACTATGTTAATATATATATATATATATATATATATATATATATATAAAGTGATATAAAATGTCATTGCTCTACCATTCAATCCAGTGTACTCCTTGTTGTGCACTCACTGCAAGGCGTTTTGATGACCATGAATTGTACTGAATCCCTGTAGTCCTGACACTTGTTGCAATCTGTTTGACAGGGAGAGGCTGAAGGTACGTGTATACAGTCACCAAGGGAGAGCTAGAGGCAGAAGCATCACTCATTCTTTGGTTGGCGAGGGCAGGTAAAAATCCTGCTACCCAAAACTGGCTGCCTCTCACTCAAGTAGAAAGAAAGCTGCTGAAGCAAAAGATGGTGAAACACAATGGTTACTTACTTTAGAGATATCTAGAACTTGATCATACACAAGTTAGTGGCACAGAAACTGCCTAAGCCAGGTCCTATCATAGGTAATATGCCTGCAGAAAATTAACAAATAATAAAAAAAAAGAACAGTTATTCTCATTGTAGGGGATTAAATTAAAATGCACTTACTATTCAATAATAAAATCCACGGGTAGAAAGTAAATTGGCCAAATTTTAAACCCCTTATGAATGGCAGCATATGTACTGTCAAGGTAATGCTAGAACATAAAATAAGAGAATTGTAGAACTTAAGATATGCAGTGTAGTTGTGCCTGAGGGACTGAGCTAATTAAAAAATCTCTGCTACCTCTAAAATGTTCATTATTATTTAGAATGGACGTTTGAATGAAAGCAGGGTGACAGAGGTGACCCATATTGACACGTGCATTTTCATGAAGAGTGTTGAGAAAGGAAATGAGTACGTTTGCAAGTCAGAATGCCATTAAGCACTGCAATCCATTAAGATACAGGCTCTACCTCATGTTACGTTGTCATTCTCCAAACTCTTCCCATCCTTTTATAAGTTGCAATTTCCCAAGACAAAGGAATCAGAAAGTCACTCCTATTCTATCTCTAACACTTTCAGCTCGTCTCTTCATTGCTATACAGGATTTTGGCATGGGACTCACTGTACCTTGTAAACAAAAAAACCTTCAAAGAAAGCATGGTTGAACTCTTAATTCCCTTATTTCAAAATTCCCAACTGTATTGGGTAAGATTAATGACTAAATATTTTCTGTGAAGAATAAACACCAAACAAAGCATTGCTTGCACGGAGTGGGAAAAGAAATCCTTAATTTCATGTAATTTATGTCTCTGTATGCCATGAAAGAAATGGATCTCTCCCTGTACACCCAAGTAGAGCTGCATGGGCAATTAACAGTCAACAAAAGGAAAACATAACTCTGAATTTCTCCTTTGTGCATTACAGTGATCTGAAAAAGATAATCATATTAATGCAGTTCATCATGGCCATCATTTGCAGGAGATAAATTAGCCAGGTTTAAACAAATAAACCAACTCTACCACAAACTTTCACTACATGTTGAGTGTATCGAAAAATCTGTGCAATTATCGTGATTATTTCAGCATCTCCCCCACCTCCTTTTAAGATTCCAGTTGCTGTTTGGAAGAAAATCCTTTTATTCTATACTGCCTGCAGATGTACATCTTCCTTGTCCTTCCTATAATACTGTTGTGATGCAATGATGTTATCCTGAGCTCCCAGGTGCCTCCGCAGTGGATGTGATGAGTCCAAGTGTTATTAAGAGGTGGACATTTTCAAGTTGTCTGCACTATGGCAGACAGCAAAACAGAGCTTAATCAGGCATGGACTGAGGATCTTTTCCAGCTGGTACCACTGGTGCTGAGCACCAGATTGTTTTGTGACATTTCTGTGCCCTTTGTTCAGAGATACTGAGATGGAAGAGTGGTGCTGCAGTGGCACAGCAGCCCAAGGAGGTGGTGGGGTCTCTGGAGGTGCCCAGGAACCACGGGGATGTGGCACTGAGGGAAGTGGTTTGTGGGCACGGTGGGGTGGGTTGATGGTTGCTCTTGGTGGTCTTATCCAACTTCAATGATCCTTTATCTTCAGACTGTCAATTGGTGACACGATTGCAATGCTCATGTGCTTATTGCCCAGTTTGCAGCTCTTTTTTGGATTTTTTGAATCCTGCTTTATTTTTCCCAACAGCATACCTGTATTGGTATCTTTCTCTTGAATTTGCCACTTTATGTGCGCGTTAATTGCTAAATTACTATGTGCCATATCCCTTCAGCTGCTCATTAATGTATTTGTAACTATGATATTTTATGGCAATTTAACTGTGGAGATTACAAATAGAAATATCAGCTAAAACCAGAATGATTAGCAAACCAAGATGAATGCTGTGAATTAATCATCATTTCAGACATCACATTAAGGTTTTAAATGTTCATCTTAATATGGCAGATACAAATCGCTGAGGCAAAAAGAGTCCTTGCAATTTTAACTATACCAAACACCAGTCCTTAATCACAAACACACACACTGAAGGTTTTAACTAACCTTTCAGTCACACGTACCTTCATAGAATGACCTCCATGTTTTAGCAGATAGTTACTAAATGGCCACACAACAGTTATTCTGTCAGTTTCCACACTTCAGTTTTTTGGGTGCTGTGTTGAGGAGTGCATTAAAGGCACAGCATGCACCTGCAGCCACTTCTTCTGCTAGTTAGACCTGAAAGAATAAAGCTCACTTGTCTGCAAGTCTTGCTGGAGGACGACACGTTGTACTTACTGAGTTTATGCAGCATTTGACACAAGGGACAAGTCCTCATTTATTTAAAGGGCCTTGGATGCTAAGAGAGTGTTTTCTTTTGCAAAATAATGGAGAAACCCCTTTTCATACTAAACTAACAGATGTGATACACAAATAAGTTTCTCCTTTGTCCTAAAACAGAAGCAAACACACACACTCCCCACATTTTAAATTACACAGCACTAGACAGAAAACGTGCACGGTTACTGCAGACAAAGATTAATCTTTCTTTGATATATTCAATACTTCACACGCTCCACATTATCTGGTGAGTATATGTGCCTTGCCTTCAGGAACGTGATGTACTGTGCCATACATCATCGTCTCATTTATTGAGTGCACCTCTGCACATGCATTGGCACATCCCTGCCCAGGGTCAGGATCACGTGCCAATCTTCTGCCTTGCTTCTCCCTCCCAGCCCCTGGCCTCTGCTGTGCACCACCACTGTGTGTTCTGTGCAGCAGGATGCCTCCTCATCCCTCTCCTGTATGGTCCCATGCTGCAGATGAGGTTTCCATTTGCCACGTTCACAGGAAGGTGATGGCAGCTTAACCAAGTCAGCTCTGGTTTCAGAGAGATTTTTGGAGCAGAACACACTTCTGGTTCCTACAACAGATCCTTCTTAAGACACCTGCTGTGCCCATAGAATCCTCTGAGTTGGAAGGGACCCTGACAGGTCATCACGTTCAACTCCCCTGCAAGGTGGTTACAAATAGGAGAAGGGAAAAACAGTCATATATAAATGCAAACAACTTCTAAGGGCATTAATTCAATTTGTTACATTGAAGACACGGGCTACTGCAGGGAAACAGCCTGGAGTGATGTCTTGCAGTTTTTTTTTTACAAGCAAAGACCAATTTGCTTCATGTCATACAACGGATGGGATGTTCTATCCTCTGGTGTGATTAGAAAGACTCTCTAACCCCATTTATATCTCTTTCTTCAGTGCACATATAAGAATCGTCGCCTACAGCTGAACTTAAATGGAAGCATGCTGCATAAATATTGATACTTGCTGTGATTAATATTGCTATTTATATTAGCGATGAATTGGGTTCACATAAAAATAATTAGCACAGCATGCCTGGGTATTATTTGCTCCTAATTATATCACAGTTCATTTCACCAACAGCAACGTGTCACCAAGTCAATAACAACCAATGATTAATGCACAGAAGGTATTACCTTAAAATAATACCCTGTGTAACTCCCTGTGTTCCAATGAAATACTGTTTAAGAGCTCATGGCTGAGGAGCAACCAGAGTCCCTCGTCTGCCCTGAGAGCTCTCCTAGAAAACACCTCACGGAACAGACGGACTCGGGCAATTACATCCCAGTCACACCACCCAGGCAGCAGCATAAATATAACAAACATGTAATAAAGCCAGCAGACAAAACCCTCCCCAGAGTCCGCCTCCCGCATCTGCCCAGCCTCACTCATCTCCCAGCTCCCCTGAGCAAGTCATTTAAGCACTCTTTGCCATCTGGAAAACCAGGACACTGCAGCGGCTGCTGCAGCACTCGCAGGCTATCAGGAGACTCTGGTTACTGGGGTTGTGAAGAAAGCTGAGATCTGGGGACAAAGTGAGTCATTACAAGGTCTGTTCTGTGAGATGCCGGCTCTGGCCTGGATCCAGCAAAGCACTTAAGCACACACTAACCCCTCTGAAAAGTACAGCGACGTTTCTGCTAACTGTATCAGATTGAATAACTCCAAAAGAGATTTAAAAAACCAACAGCTTAAAGGTAGGGCAATTCCATACAAGGGTGGATTCCAAGACACGAGAAGAGCAGTTCTGAGATGTTCTTCAAAGCAGCTTTTTATCTTCAGGCTTCAGATGGCACCTGAGACATTTAAACTGACACAAGTGGCCACACACCAAAGTTGGAATCAAAAGCTTCAGGAGGTACAGATTCATATACAGATCACTTTAAGGGAGCGAATACCAAACTACTTTTTGCTCATCACTTACCACTTAGGACAAACTTGCATGTAGGTTAATACTCCTTGCCAGTAGCTGTCAAACACGCAGCCAGCTAACGAACGCTAAATATCCTGCTGTAAATCACCGGATTAACACACAGAGCATCTTCACGGTGTGCTACTGCCCCCGTGTGTAATAAACATTTCTAACAGCAATCCTAGAACGGGGAAACGACGGCATGGCTTTCTTATCACACAGCTGGTGCAAAAAAAAGAGATGAAATGGCCTCGTTTCCAGCAGCTGGAAACCAAATGAGAAAAGACTGAGAGAGGATCTGATTTGTGTTTGTAAGGGGAGGTCGGAGGCAGATTGATGAAGCCAGGCTCCTCTTGGTGGTGAGTAGTGGTAGGATAAGGAGCAGTGACCTAAAACTTGAACACAGGAAGCTCTGTACAAACATATGGAAGAACTTCTGTATGATAAGGGTGACGGAGCACTGGAGCAGGCTGACAAGGGAGGTGGTGGAGTCCCCTATGGATGTGGCTCTGGGCAGCCTGGTCTGGTGGTTGGTGATTCTACACGTAGCAGGGGGTTGAAACTTGATGGTCATCGTGGTCCTTTTCGACCCAGGCTGTTCTATGATTCTATATTCAAGACCTGGCTGGCCACCCATCTATGTGACCTATTGTAGGGTTCCTG